GAAGAGGAGGTGTACGGCATTTTATAGCTTTTCTATTAAAATTACTAACATTTCCATCTTCTGTCTGTCAACAGTTTGCTGACTAATCTCTCAGTGGCTTGGACAATAGAATGTGGTGGTCTCATTCTGGTCTCACTAATTACTGTGGTAGTCTCATTCTGGTTCATCATGTGAACGCTGAGCCTGAAGGCAGGTTTTTGCTGACATGGTGTGTATAGGAGGGCAGATATTTTTACTCTCCCATCTGTTCCACACCGTCCCGTATAGTTTTACTTTGTAGCGTCCTTGGTGTGCGTCTAGGGATCTGTTCTACATACCACTTATTTGAGCCCCTCGCTGCAGTTGTTTACAAATAATGTGGAGTGAATTTATCCGTAATGATGAAGCCTAAGAGTCTTTATTATTGATCTTAAGAAAGGAAACTTTTAGCAACTCTTTGGTACTTTGTATGAAATGTGACTGATTCATGCTGCTTGAAATATTCAGCTCTAATGGATGCACATGCATTATAATGTTTCTGGTTGCTTTTGAAGTGGATATTTTACTTAGAGGAAAACCATCAAAGACAAAGTCTGTGTCCTATATACTTCAGACCTAGTTTCAGAGGCTGAGCGAAGGAAAGTTTATTTAACAATAAACACAAAAATATTGCATGAATAATATATTTCAAAAACTTCAGAATTCTACTCTTTCAAAGTAGCTACTTATAATTTTAAGCAATTTTAGCATTAATGTCAGCCAATGAATGTCTGTTAGACACATAGTATTTTTGTCTTGTTTTCCTGTACACATATCTAAACAATCTTAAAGATATGAGAAGCAAAATGACATAAGATATTAAAGCTTGTTACATTACTTTAAGCTTAAAAAAAGAAAGAAAATAACTTAAAATAAGAAAAATAAACTGGTTTTGCCTTTGAATTAAGATGATTTCTTTTTAAGATTAATACTGTTATATAAGTCTTGTTGTCAGCTCCCCATTGGATACTGCAAAGAAATTTGGGGGCCTAATTGTTTTCTGAATGTTAAATCTTTTCCAGTCTGCTTTGTGTGTCATTTTGAGTCATTTGCAGCAAAATAAGCACTCATAAGTCATTTACATATTCCATCAACTTTCCCCTCGACACATGACAGCTTATCCTGAACAAACTCTTTCATGGTACACAAAGGAGCAGAGTTTGTGTCTGATGGGTAGCGCGGCGGCTCCATGTGCGTGAGCAGATGGCTCTCATGGAGAAGCGGATGACTCTGCTGACGTACAGAGCCTGAGAACCACACAGGTAGGAGGGAAGCTGGACAGAAGAGAGTCCGCGGGACACATGAAGAGCTGCAATGCAATGCACGACCTTTGTGCACTTCAAATGTGTTTTTGTGTTAAGCCAATAAATGGGGTCCATGTTAAAAATCTGGGATTTTCATGAACAGAAAGAGGTTTTAGGATTCAAAATCTTAAAACATGAAAAGGTTCAACATAAAGTTTTTTAATATTCCATTTGTTAACATTAGTTAACTAACATGAACGTACAATGAAAAATACTTTTAAAGCATCTATTAATCTTAATGTTAATTTCAACATTTGTTACAATGTTGATATTATTTAATAGACTTGAGCTTATATAAACTAACAACAACAGTTGTATTTTTATTAACTAAGGTTAACAAAGATTAATAAATACTGCAACAAATGTATCGCTCATTGCTAGTTAATGCATTAACTAACATACATTTTTTGCATTCAAATTGTTATGCTGATAATATAACTTGTAAAATTACATGCAAAATAGCATTTTCACTGCTCTCAGACAGTATTGCTGATGATGCTACATAATTAAGACATTCTCTCTTATAATATAGAAATTGTTCATTTTTCATTTAATATCCAACATATGAGTGAATGGAAATACAATGTAGCTGCTCTCAACCTCATTTATGTCAATGCTGATTTGGGATGTAAGAATGATTATGGTTCCATCTAGTGGGTGAAACACAGACTGTCCTCTAATTCAGTGCTTTCAAAGGGGCCAGTATTTGTGCCGGATTAAATTAATAGTTTCTCTGACTGAAATTTGTTGTTTACCTATAATGAAGCAGAAATGGTACAATTAAAAAAAAATAATTTTTTAAATGTAAGTAATGTAAGTTTAAGTTTAAAGTTTAGTTTAAAGAACTATTGGAAGAACTATTGTTCCAACCACTAAAGATAGATTCACAAATAAACTGCCTGATTTATCTCAACTGCTTTCTGTACCCATAATACACATGAACTAGACGAAATGACTAGCAACATGGGCACTATCTTCTCTAATACATTAGAAGCTGTTGCCCCCATCAAATTGAAAAAGGTTAGAGAAAAACGTACTGTGCCATGGTACAACAGTAATACCCAATCTCTCAAGAAAAAACTCGTAATCTTGAGCGCAAATGGAGAAAAACTAACTTGGAAGTTTTTAGAATTGCATGGAAAAACAGAATGTCCAGCAATAGACAGGCTCTAAAAGCTGCCAGGGCCGAGCATATCCACAAAAAATAACCAAAATAATCCAAGGTTTTTATTTAGAAACCATTCAAGCTGGCGGTTATTAAGCCTCTTATTAAGAAACCACAACTAGATCCTAGTGAACTGGCAAATTACATACCCATCTCAAATCTTCCTTTTATGTCTAAAATTTTAGAAAAAGTTGTGTCTGCTCAATTGTGCTCCTTCCTGCAAAAAAATTATCTCTATGAAGAATTTCAGTCAGGTTTCAGGCCCCACCACAGAAACTGCACTTGTTAAAATTACAAGTGACTTGCTTCTTGTGTCAGACTAAGAGTTTTACTTGATCTTAGTGCTGCGTTCGACACTATAGATCATTAGAAACTTAATTTTCTGTAAAGTTGCTTTGCAACAGTTTGTATCGTGAAAAGCGCTGTACAAATAAACTTGAATTTAATTAAAGCTACTGTGATAATAAAGTAACCAATATACAAATTATATTTGGATCCACTGTCCCAAAACGCATCATATACTGCATTTATCATGTATGCTCAGTATTAGGATTTGATCATATTTTCTGCATAGATGCTGCATAAATGTCGGATTGAAAATTACATCATTAAACTCCTGAGACATTGAGAGGAGACTGTGGAGACTGTGTTACCAAGCATCCGGAAAAAGCAGCCATTACAGGAGGGACGGCCAAATGTGTCTGCCACAGTCCCAGATGACCTGATGAACCAGTACTGTAAATCACTCCTGTCTCAGAGAGAAAACTGTTGAGTTATACTGTTAATTTCCACTCTTTTCTAAAGCACTCTGAGCTGGAATCTTAAATGCAAATTGTTGTAAATATATATATTTATAGCTAATGGAATTAAATAATATTTTAGCAACTCTGTGGTTTACTGTGCTTTTACAGTTCAGTTGCTCTTTAAAAAAATCGGTTTTCTCTAGCAGTATTTTTTTTTTAATCAAAACTGTCTTTAATATTTGTGAATTGTCCAAGACATTAGTCAGTTACGGTATAACGTACTGCAGGTGGATTTTAAATGAGAGGTTGTACAGGTCAAGAGTGTTTTTCATAAATTTCAGATGGGGGAGTCAAGGAAGGCTTTCACGTTTTATATGTTCATTTTATAAGCTGTTGTCCAAAACAATGGCTGAATATTTCCTATTTGTTAGTCTTTTATATTGTTGATGTTCATTTGTTCTTTGCTTAATTTTATTTTAATATAATAGACTACATAATGGCAGATTCTCCTTCTGAAAACTACTGCAAATAGGGCCGACTTCAGATTATGATGTCAGAAAGTGTAAAATAACTCATCTTTTTTTCCTGGACAACGAGAGAGGAAAAGTATGATTTTCTAGCTTTAGTCACCACTTTTAATTAAAGTCAAAAATATATACATTTATATTTTAAATAAATAAATAGTTAATAATAATAATAATAATAATAAAACATTATATAATATTATTTTATTACAAAATTGTTTATTATTATTATTATTAATAAGTGTTATAATTATCTATATAATTAATTATATAAGTAAATACAAATAGTATTATTTTATTAAATATTATTTGATGATGCTTTTATTATATTTATTCAATATAACTGTATTATTATTGAGTGTACTAAAATGAAACCGATTAAAGCCATCAGGGTGGGTGATTGCCCTTATCTTCATCATAATCATCATCTAATGTTGGAACTGTTGACTTTCCCGAAGGTTAGTATTATAGATCAGTGGTTCCCAACCCTGGTCCTGGGGGCACCCCAACACTGCATGTTTTGCATGTATCTTTAATCAAACACACCTGATTCAGGTCATCAACTCATTAGTAGAGACTTCAAGACCTGAAATTGGTGTGTCAAAGAAAGGAGACATGCAAAATGTGCAGTGTTGGGGTGCCTCCAGGACCAGGGTTGGGAACCACTGTTATAGATAACTGCTATATGTCAAGCGTGCTGATCCCGAGTCAGTGCGTTTCTCCCGCACATCCGGGTGTCGCCTCCACAGCGCAGACGCGTCGCGGGGATTGCAGCGCTCTGCGTTTCCGCGTTAGCAGCGGGGGGAACCAGCCGAGGGGAGGGAACGGAACACAGCGAGATTGGCCGAATCTAACTGGATTACGCTGCCCGTGTCGCGATTAAAATGAAAAAGAAGTGACATTCGACCCTGCGGCCGTGTTTATAATTATCTATATAATTAATTATATAAGTAAATACTATCATTTTATTACAGAATAGTATTAAATTATTTTATTATATTATTACATTAAATCTAAATATTATTACTTTATTAAATATTGTTAGGTAATAATAATAAATGTTAACAATTCAATAACATTATTTTATTAATTTTATAAAATATAATAATAATAATAACAACAACAACAACAACGGTAATAATAAGTGTTATTATAATTATGTTATAGATAACTGCTATATGTCAAGCGTGCTGATCCCGAGTCAGTGCGTTTCTCCCGCACATCCGGGTGTCGCCTCCACAGCGCAGACGCGTCGCGGGGATTGCAGCGCTCTGCGTTTCCGCGTTAGCAGCGGGGGGAACCAGCCGAGGGGAGGGAACGGAACACAGCGAGATTGGCCGAATCTAACTGGATTACGCTGCCCGTGTCGCGATTAAAATGAAAAAGAAGTGACATTCGACCCTGCGGCCGTGTTTAGGAAGTGAGCGTGGGATCATGACATTCGCTCGCGCACGAGACGGGCTGACGGCACTGCCTGACATGTGAGACATCAGGACGAATACAACAACAGTACGCTTGTGTGGCTGTCTCCGCCACCGTCTGTTTATGCTCGCTCTGTTGATGCACATTTTGCATTCGTTTCGCATTTGCTGGGAGGCAATATGAAGAAGTTCAATATCAGGAAGGTGCTGGACGGCTTGACTGCGGCGTCCTCTTCCTCCTCCGCCGCCGCGTCCCCTCAGTCGGGAAACAGGGAGAATGACATGATTCAGGAGACCCTGCAGTCAGAGCATTTCCAGCTCTGCAAGGTGGGATTAGTTATTGTGATCTCATGCGGGGGGTGATGGGGATGAAGGGGGCTGAGTGGCGCCAACTCACCTCAATATTCTAATACGCGCGAGAAGAACACCTCAATATTCGAATACGCGCGAGAAGAACACCTCAATATTCTAATACGCGCGAGAAGAACGCTTATAAAAGCAGTTTTCAAGCGACGGTTTTCATCTCGTTTAAATCACCTCAGAGTCGGTTTTAACCATCACCGGCTGGATTAATAACCCAAAGGTCGGTTCACGAGATTAATCGCTCGCGTGATGCCAGAGTTGAAGGTTGACTAGTCGGTGGAGGTTATTTTAAGACGAATTAATTTAACGCGCAACGAGCGGAACTGATTCAAATTAGTATGAGGTAACTTTAGAATTACAGACTCCTTTCTGTCATATGGAAAGTCGTGCCAGGCTAGTCTGTCAAGAAATACCTGTGCTTAATGTTTAGTCATGCAGTTTAATTCGGATTGTAGAACAAATCGGCTCCTTTGCTAGTGTGAATCTGTTTTTATTCAGTCTATGGTGTGAACGGATAGTTCATGTTCTAATTCGCTGACTGTGTATTAACTAAACGGGTTATCCCTGAGATAAGTCAGGTTAAAAGTGATGACGGTATTTTAGAATTATAGTATTTCCTAGTTTAGTTACGTGATCAAAATATAATTAAAGGTATATTCTGTCATCATTTATTCAGGTTGTTCCAAACCTGTATGAGTTTTTCTTTCTTTTTTTTTAACACAAAATTATTCATTTTGGGTGAAAATTATCAATCTCGCTTGGTATTATCTATACTACATTTTTATATGTTTTTGTTTCTTAATTATTATGATTTTTTGTGGTTCAAACTGGCTTTAACGGGTGCGCTATGAAAATGGTAAATAATAACCATTCAAAACAATGTTTATAACAAAATTATGACTTAACAAAAACGAAATAAACTAAGTGAACATTTGATAACTAAAACTATTTAACAAAATGTTTTTAAACATGGTTTAATGGATAAAATTAAATATGTCAACATATTTAGTACTTACATTTTCTCAGATTGAATATACTGCATGCAGTAATTGCAACTTTTTAAGGAATTTTAAAGATAGTATGGAATGGATCCTTACTATCTCTATGGTTAGGCGTTTTATTTGGTTTGGTTTATGCATTTTAGATATGCGTTCTCAGCATATGTAATTGTAGTCACTACACAAATGCTCTGGTAACCAGCAGGCTGTATTGGTTGGGCTTTTGTTTTTTTTGTAGTGTATACATTTGTGGGATGTTAAATGGGGCCATGTTTGGGAACAGGATACCAAAAACCGGGACTGTCCCCAGAAAACGACCACAATAACCTAGTGTTACTCAAATATTTACCCACAGAGTGAGCAGTTAGTCTCACTAAATAAAAAAGTCCTTGTAATACCAGAGCACAAGAATATGGTAATCATTCAGTACCATGGTAAATATTAAAGTAAAGTGTTAACATTTGATATCATCACTGTACCATGTTACCACCACAGTAATTCAGATGTTAGTCAGATGTCAACTTCAGCTTCTCAGCATCCTGTGGTCTGAACCTCATCTGTAATATCTGTTTTAATTTCTATCTAATTAAATCCTAATTGGAATCCCCGGCCCCCACCTAATTACTAAAGCCACTAATAAGAAGAGAGGCCTTGCTAGCTTTGAATGATTTGTGTTTTCCTGAATTGTTATTACTTGTTTGTGTTCCTCCACATGGTTGGATATATTGTTCATTTTTGTTTTGGTGTTATCTGCAAGGCCCATCAACGTCCCTCATATATATTGACTTAATCAAACTAGGCTATATCATGAATATGCACTGACCTAAGGATGTTTCCGCATATGCAATGTTTAACCAACGTCATGTTTTCTTTGCTCGGGTCTTTCACAGGTTCTTTTGCTATAAATGATTGACATGGAATCATGTTTCCTGTGTATTTTTCGCCAAAAAATTGTTGTTAATAACTCATCCTCATGGAGTATTTCCATGGAACACAAACAGACAATTTTTGTAGAGCTTCATGCATGCAATAACATGTCTGTAAATCTCCAAAAAAGCATGTTAAACTTGCTTTATATTCCTAGTCTTCTGAGGAAATCTGGTATCTTTGTATCAGTTTATTTTAGTATAATTTATATTCTATTATAGTTTTTGTTAATATTTTGAAATGGATTTTAATTCTATATAATTTTTATTTATATATTTTCAGTTTTAATTTGAGTACGTTTTAGTAATTTAGTCTAGTATGTTTTAGTCTTTTTATATTTTAGTATTACTTTAGTATTACTTTTTTTTTTACTAGTTTTAACTTTTTTTTTTCATTTTCATTATTATTATTGTTTAAGTGTCTATATAGCTTTTATTTTATTTTAGTTTTTTAATGGTATTTCAGCTTAAACTAAATGAAAATGAGAAATGTTGCCTTGGCAACAAGCTGAAATAAAATACGTTTTTTATATTTTATTTTATTTCAGCTAATTGTTATTTTACTATTTTTAAAACTATGGTTTTAGTATTAGTTAAGGATAATAACCCTGCTTCGTATGAGGGACAGATTGAAATATAGGTTATTTCATTAAAAAAAAAAAAAGCAACAAGAAAAATTTCAGAAAAAAAAATTTTTTTTTCAAATTTGTGCAGTGTGTTTAGTTACGGACATTATCATCAGCAAATCATGACTTACATTCCTGTCATTTCCACATACAAAGTGTTCTTTTGGCTTCAGAAGACTTCAAATATAGTGCTCTTGATGGTCAACACAGGTTTTGTTCAAAATGTGAGCAAGAATTTCCATTTTTGACTGAACTTTGCCTTTAAGAACACCATTGTCATGTTTGTAGTTTAATGCAAATCATCTTCTGCTTCACAGACAGTGCGACATGGCTTTCCAAATCAACCCTCTTCCATGGCTTTTGACCCTGTGCAGAAAATTCTGGCTATTGGCACACAGAGTGGAGCCCTGAGACTGTATCCTTTATATGAAGAGCTGGCAACATACCCAGCCTAACTTACCTGGGGAAAAATAAGTGTCAGATGCGGTCTTGTTGTTTGTGTATATTTAAACAAAGGCAATCCTCCCACCCTTCTGTGTTGGAAGTCTTGTTGCACAAAGTAATTAACTTGTTCAAAGCATGTGTGGTTCTTTTTTACTAACCTCCATGCAAACAAATGATTATGTAAGTTGCAAAATACAAGTAACAACATCCTCTGGTAAATCATCTTCTCTAAGAGCCTTGCCCCAGGAGATATGAATATTTACCCTAGAGAAGCATCATAGTAGCTACTACCTCAAGTAACAAAACAAAAAAAAACTGAAAGAAAGACACTAACATGTCTAACATGTGCTAATGCTTCGTTTAAAAAAAAACAAAACACATTATTTACCTTTAATCCACACCGCTCTGTCCCTTCTCTGAGAAACGCGCTGATCATTTCCTGCTTTTATGAAGCCCCACCCTCAGAAATAGACAATGGGCTCTGATTGGTTAGCTAGCCCAGTGTGTTGTGATTGGCTAAACCACCTCTAGTGCTCGTCTAAATGTCCCACCCCTTTTCCAGTGATGTCTGTGAGAAAGGTATATTCACTCGACAAGCTCGCGCATCTGCGCCGCCGCGCGTTCAATCCACTCAGCGTGCTTTGCTTACCAGCTGGCGCACATCAGCTATACAGGCATGAATACTGAATGTTTAGTACGAGTACGAGTACAGGAGCTCAGTATCGGGCCCGATACCGTGCATCCCTACTTATCAGTTTGAGCCCGATTGAGAAGCAGAGGATATTATTGAAGAGGATCGTGCAGAACCTGTGCAAGCACGGCTTTTAATGGTAGGTCTATGTTTTTTGTTTGTTGTTGTCTCATACTTTTATATATACTGTTATTTGTAAATACTACTGCTTATGTTAGCTTTTAATATACGAGACGAACACTAACTAAGGTTAAAAAAGTGAAATCGCAATCAACCACCCCTTAAATATATATTAACTGTGATAAAACTATGTGGCTCGTTGCTTTTAAAAAATGGCGGAAACAGTAGTATTTTGTTTTAAAAATGTGCATTTATGCTCTGTGTTTTTAAACATTCACACATCTATTATTCAGGCAAGTAGGCAAAGTTATTGGCCAGTGGCAAAAATCTCATATATATTAGTCTTAGGGGTGCTCTGATTGATCGGCTACCGATCATTATCGGCCGATGTTTAACCATTCAGCGCTCGCGCGCTCTCCTGGGGACCGTGCGCTCATGCACACTCGCACTCGCAGCGCACACACATAATGCCAGGTTCACATTACTCCGTTTTCAGTGTGTATGTGGTGCGTATTTTTTCCGCGCTCATGTTAACGGAATAATAGAGCACGCACGCTGCACACCATTGCTGTCCGGCAGTGCGTTCCACGAGCGGTGCATCTGCAGCAGTGCTGTACTGTGATAAAAGAGAATCACAATGCTGAAAAAGCATTTTCAGAAACAACATTTGGATTTGAAATCAAAATAATGGATAAATGTTGTGTGTGTGGTAAACAGCCACGGATCAGTAGCGGACTCTTGTGTGAAAGCTGCTTCTCCTCTCACAAGAGACACCTAAGAGGGGAATTCCCCCCATTTTCAAAAATGAAATTCAGGCCCTGAATAAATGTCTAAAAATCCTGATTGGAGTATCACTATAAATAGTTATAAATTATAAAAAAGAAGGCTTTAAAAAGATCAGTATCGGTGATCGGTATCGGCAGATACTGCTTTCTGTGATCAGCGATCGGTGATCGGCCTCAAAAATCCTGATCGGAGCACCCCTAATTAGCCTGGGTGCATATCTACAGTACCTCCATTGCTTGACTAAAATGCAAAACATAAAAGCATTGAGCATTTCAAAACTGATGCTTTAATGCACTATATGCTCAGTCATCAGTGAGAGAAGGTCAGTTGATTCCAGGCAGTAAAAAACAAAGGAGCCTGTTTCTCACAGAGTCATGTATACGAGCAGCCTCATTTCAGAGGCACATTTCCTAGAAGCAGGGTCTTTATTCCTAGAGGAGCTGCGCTCATTAGTGATATCTCCACTGTGGCATGAGCAGCTCCATTGCCATATGTTGCAGAGCTCGTCTCATCATTGGTGCTGCCGACTATCTGCCAGAAAGCCACCTCGCACGTGCTGGAAACATCGCTGGTCCTGCTGGGCACGTCTGTTAGAGCCACACACACTCAGCCAAGCTGCGCCAGCTTATTTCTGAGTGTTTTCATGTTCAGATATACACCACACCATTGAAAGTTGGGAGTAGGGCTGGGTGTTTTATTGTATACTGTGCAATGGTAGAATTTTTTCATTTTAATATTATTTAGATTGTTATTCTCAAAATCCAAAACAGACAATAACTTAGAACATCACAATACAAAAAAAAAAACAAAAAACAGATTTCAACAATCTGTGCTGTATGTAAAATGAAAAGCAAAAAGTCAGAAAAAAGGAGTTTGACATGCCACCTTTTCTTACAATCTGTAAATAGTTACTGAAAATAATTGTTGCATGCAAATAAACAAACAAACATGTCTAAATAATTGAAATAATGAAATTTATACAATTAAAAAAAAAATTATTACAAATTTCACAAAATAATAATAATAATAATAATAAAAACATTTTAGGGCCCTATAAAATCTTTTATCCCCCCAATTCTGTTTCATTTTATTCAAAATGTATTTTTTTCTGGATTTTGATTTAATTTATAAATTTCAGCAATTAAAAAGTGTCTAATTAATTTAAATAATGAAATTTATACAATTTAACAAACATTAATTAAAAGTTGAATAAAAATGACATTTTTTAGGACCCTACAAAGTCTGTTTTCATGTTCTCAGTTTTCCGTTTTAATTTTTATGGATTCCATTTTAATAGTTTAATTAAATGTTAACAATCAAAAGCTAGTCTAATCAATTGATTTCAAAACTTTTTGAAATATAAAAATGTATTAAAAATTAGCAGGGCCCTATGAAATGTTTTATTTTTCAGAAATTCTTTGTCTGTTTTACCTTTTCTAGTTTATTATCAAAAATGTATTAGAATGTCACACTGCATGTTTACTTCCCAAAAATATTTCATGTCATCTTCTATTTTGTGAAATACCATGACACAAGATTTGAGTTATACTGCCCCTCCGTACCACAAAAGATTGCATGGTTGAAGGCCAGACTTGGTTTTGTCAGATTTGAATCTTGATCGTGGGAGCGCACCTCTATTATGCTGCTGTAATGGTGTGCAGTACGTTGTCCAAGGCTTCACTGTGTCAATGGCATTTTGTCCTTGTGGAAAGTCACAAGACACCCACCGGGTCAGTGTTTTCTGTGGTGGAGAACTGAGTTGATTGGCTCTCTCCTCTTGCTCAGCTGTTGCCTGGATGTGTTAATGTGCAGAGAGAGCTGATGGACTTACTGTCATTCAGTCGATTGGGCTATTTATCAAAAGACAGGATGTATCGATTTGCCTCATTGCCCCTAGCATTGGGAAACACCGCCACAGCTCAGCTGACACAAACTCAATGAGGTGTTTACTAACAGTAATATCTAATTTTACATGATTGGTCCCTTGTGTCTCTATCTGTGTGTTTCCATATAGAAACCTTGCTGGACGTTGAGGAGTTTCAGCTGTCTTGGCTTGATATTAAATACTAGCAGTTTGTTAAAATATGCAGTCTCGTTGCCTCTTGGTAATGTTTTTCCAAATTTCAGAGCTAAGGAGCAAACGTTTGTGAGGTTTTATGCATGAATAATTTACGAATAGATTGTTGTTGAATGCTTTTTGTTCTGATTATGCACTGTGATCTGATAAAGTTTTATGCATGGTAAAGACTTGAAAGCTTAATCAAACACTGCCAATGAAAGTGTTTAAGAAACATTAAAATGTTTATTTATGATATGTTTAAAACAAGAAATCAGAATCCTCTGTGTTTAACCCGCAGAAACTTGAAAAAGCTGAGCCTGTGTCGAGCATCACATTTTTACTTTGTAAGTCGAATGAGGAAAGCCTTCTTTGCATGTGTGTATAGAAACACCACAAACCACTGTGGTTTACCAAATGAGGAAGTTGCCTTCTGTTGTTTTAGAATGTAACTTTCTTTCATCCTTTCTTTTTTTCACAACCGTCTCACTAAAGATGAGTACTGCATAATGCTGTAAGGACTTTAACCAGTCAGGTGATGTAGGGTTAAAAAAGAGTGATGTAGGGTTTATGCATGTGACTTTAAGCATGTGACTAGGTTTCTGAGCCACAACATTCTGATCTAAAGAGTACATTAGATATACTAGATCTGTTTTTATTTATAAGTGAACTGTGAAATTCAGTGTAGATTGTGCTGCAAAATTTTCACCAGATGTTCATCATGATGAACGTAGTGATTTCGTAATGAGCTGGTGAATGCAGGATTAGTGTATAAATGGTGGAATTTGTCTCTGCTGGCGTGGGTTATAATTATTATTAGGCTTTAGCATGATATACATTTAATTGATTATTTCTGTTTTTAGCATAATCATCTAATGTGCTAAAGAGTACACTAGATATACTATTTCTGCTTTTTTATATAAAGAGAACTATAAAAAATGTATATACACAAAATATTAAATAAACTTTGGCTTGTAACTCATCCCACATGTTTGTGCTGCAGACATACTGTAAATGAGATCTCAAATCAGGTGACTTGTAGAAAGGAATCTTATCAAATTTGCACAGGATATAAACATCCATCATTCATTTTTGTTTATTAAATATTTTTACTCATTTTATAATACTTCCATCTTCCAACAAGAATGTTGTTATCTCAGCTCTGTTTAACACTATTTACAATGTTTACATCTATTTCACATAACTGAAGTGATTTTTCCCACCAAGAAAGTCCTGCAAAATTTTGCAGGTCAATAAAGTCAGTAAAAAAATTATATCCAAAGTGGGTCCTGAGCCATATCTAGAGACTAGAATATCG